TTCTGACATGTGGTAGTCAGTTAAGCAATTGCAAATTTGCAATTTTCCGTTCTTGTTAAGTTTACTGCCGTAAATATATTATTTTAATAAATTTAATCCATTAACCTATCTACTTGATTTGCTTCTATGATTTCTTGTTTTTAATTCATTTGTGCTCCAAATTTCTTCATCCTCACACCATTTTAATCCTACATATAAAATACACAACATAAGAGTAACTCATAAAATTTATGTTCAAAAAGGATAATTAAAAGATTAAATATGAGGCAAATAATGATTAAATATGTATAATTTTAGCCTCAAATCATCATCCCACAATTAAACTTTTGCTTGTCCTCGAGCAACGTAACCATTAAGCTCATCTAAAAAAAAAACGGAACTCGGAATCACCACTTTGATTGATACAAACAATTAAGCCATGTAACAAAGCACAATATCAAGTACTTTTCCCAATCATTATGCAAGATATAGAATAAACAATAAACTTCTAACCTTCTAACCTCAAAGACGAACTGTACTCATCAAATTAGGTTTGTTCCCCTATTCCATCTAAGAAAGATAATAAAATCACCTATCTATTATGAAACAAGTTCCCTCACAAGAAGAAATAGTCCACACACTCAATTTAAAGAATCGAATATAAATTAAGGACTATGCGTCAAAGAACAACTCTCTCACTCATAAAACAATTCACATGTATGCACAAAGAACCATAGGCTTGCCCATTATGTACATCTCCACTAATTAAGTATGCTTCAATAGAATCAAATAGGACTTTAACAGGTTGTAATGTTCGTTAGGGGACATGTAGGGAAGTATATCATAGTGACTTAAAACTTCCCCAAGTATTTTGCTTTTTATTTTTATTTTTCATCACTTTTTTCTCAGCCCTTTCTTTAATTATTTTCACATGTAATTCTCATCATATCAAGAATGATTCAATCAATTTGTTTTTCAAATAATCTCCTTTCATGTCACACTCTTTCTAAGAGGGCCTTCTCATCGCAAGTAATTATCATTGGTCACCCCCTTTTTTTTCTTGTTTCTTTTACCAACCATCCCTTCTCAGATTTAATAATTTTATCACACTTTACGCTACAATGCTCAAGAAAGCAGGGTGCAAAAATTAGAAATTCAAAAAAATGGATCAAGATAAATATAAGGCTACCAAACGAAAGCCTACAAGCTCAAAGAGGTTACTAGTGACATAATATCTGAAAAGGCTAAAATTTATAAGACAAATCAAAGAAAGTCTATTATCATCTTCTAACAAAGGCAATACTTTTTATTTCGCTTCAATAACATGCATGACATGTTCTAGACTAATATGCAAAACATGGAGTATATGAAAACAACATCACCACACATGGCACTAGTCTTAATCAAGATAAATCAATTCTATTTCTACGATGGACAGGGTCATTACAACATATAAAATAAGAATAAGTTATATACAGAGTCACTACCATGAGCCTAGGTGTCAAAAAGTTTATTTTATATTTCATTCTCCAGCACTCAAGAAAAATACTACTCAACTCAGGCCTAAATTGTTATTATCAAACAAGTCGAAAGGGGTTTTTTTTCTTTTCTCCCAAATTATAAAAATTAAAAAATTACTCAAAAAAATAAATTACCTGGTTCAAAGGGTTCCCCCCTCGGAAAAGAACCGAGGTCATAAGAAAAACCAAGGGGTGGATGAGATATGCCACTAAAAACTACAATAAAAAGAATAATAAAGAAAAATCTTTTTGTAACTCTTTTTTTTTCAAAGAAAATAAAAAATAATAAAGAAATTTTTTTTTGTTTTTTTTTAAAAGATATAAAATCCATATTCACCCTTAAATCACAACTATTGGAAGAATTTTCACCTCACACTTAAAATCATGCTTTGTCCCCAAATTTTTTTTAGAAAAGAGGAGATGTAGAAGGGTGAGAAATACTCTCTCGGGCACTCCATGGCCTAGCTAACAGCATGTTTTCTCTCCTTTCATCAAGGGTCGCATGCACCCCACACTTAAGCGCAAAATGTGTTCCTTAGCTTCAAATTTGGGTACTCAGACTTCTCCTGAAACTTCAAAAAAAAAAAAACAAAAAAACATGACACTAAAAATATTTAAAAAAATAAGAAGCTACACTACGAATTGGGTTTCCTCCCAATAAGCGCTTGATTTAACGTCGCGGCACGATGCAGACACCTTGACTACTCCCACTTCATCAAGACCCCACTGTTCTACCACCTCATTGACACTCTCAGATTGCCCCAAGTAGATCTTTATTTGCTGATCGTTCACCTTAAACCTCGTTCCTTCCTTGTTCTCGAGTTCAACCGCTCCATGTGGAAATACTGGAGTTACTTTGAATGGCCCGGTCCACTTGGACTTGAGTTTGCCAGGAAACAAGCGCAACCTTGAGTTAAATAATAACACCATATCACCGGAAGAAAATTCACGCCTTTAGATCTTCTGATCATGGTACTTCTTCATCTTCTCCTTGTACAAGGCTGAACTTTCATATGATTTTAGACGAAACTCATCAAGCTCATTCATCTAATTTATTATTTGACTCGATACGGCGCCCAAATCCAAATTCAGTTTCTTGAATGCCCACATGGCTTTATGCTCTAGCACTACAGGCAGATGACAAGACTTCCCATACATAAGTTGTTTGGGGGGCATACCTATGAGAGTTTTGAATGCAGTGTGATAAGCCTACAGAGCATCATCAAGCCTTCTTGACCAATCAATTATGTTAGCATTTACAGTCTTTGCAAGGATTTGCTTTATCTCGCAATTTGACACTTCAACTTGCCCACTCGACTGCGGATGATAAGGGGTTGCTACGCGATGACGAACACCATACTTCTCAAGCAAGGCCTTGAATAATATATTACAAAAATGAGAACCTCCTTCGGCAATGTTTGCCCTTGGTGTACCAAATCTAGAGAAGATATTCTTTTTCAGGAGCGTGGTGACACTCTTTCCCTTATTGTTTTAAAGAGCGACTGCTTCCACCCATTTTGATACATAGTCAACTTCCACAAGAATGCATTACATCCCATTCGAACTCACAAACTGACCTATGAAGTCAAGACCCCACACGTCAAAAAGCTCAATCACCAGTATTGGGTTCATTGGTAGTTCGTTCTTTTTCAAAATCCCTCATTCACGCTGGCATCGATCAAAAGACTTGGCAAAATCATGAGCGTATTGATGGATGGTAGGCCATACCCATACTGCAAGATTTTATGGTTGGTGGCCCCCAACGGGCGATGAATGACATGTCTCTAATATACTCATCATCTCAAACTCAGGTACACAACGACAAATAATCCCATCTGCAAAAACACGAAACAAGTAAGGCTCTTCCCAAAAGAATTTCTTCACATCAGACATGGATTTTTTCCTTTGGTGAAATGATAAATCCGACGTCACCAAGTAACTTGCCAAGTAGTTAGCAAAGTGAGCGAACCAAGGGATAAGATCATATAAAGCCTTCAATACCTACTCATCAAGGAACACATCATTTATCTCAATTCCATCTCCTAGATTGATCATCTGGACAAGTGATTAGCAACTTGATTTTCTATTCCCTTTCTATCCATTACCTCAAAATCGAACTCTTGCAGCAAAAGCACCAATCTAATCAACCTTGGTTTCACTTCCTTTTTAGCCATCAGATACCTCACTGCAGAATGATCAGTATGCACAAGTATCATCGAACTCAAACTTAGACTCTTTTTTCAAGTAGCTTGCACAATGTGTGTGCAATTTTAGAGAAATCCTTTATGAATCTCTGGTAGAAACGTTCATGCCCAAGAAAACTTCTAATACCTTTGATAGAGATGTGGGGTAGAAGCTTTTCTATTACCTCACCTTTAGCTCTATCAACCTCAATACCTTTCTGCGAAGTCTGATGACCCAGAACTATACCCTCTATCACCATAAAGTGACACTTCTCCCAGTTGAGCACAAGATTGCACTCTTCACACCTTTTTAGTACCTCTATCAAATGCATCAAACAGTCATCAAATGAGTCACATACTACAGAGAAATCATCCATAAATACTTCGATCGTGTCCTCCACCATATCTGAAAATATTGACCTCATGCAATGCTGGAAGGTCGCTGGAGCATTACATAACCGAAATGACATCCTTTTGAATGCAAAAGTCCCATAAGAATAAGTGAAGGTGGTCTTCTCTTGGTCTTCCGGAGCTATTGAGATTTTAATGTAGCCAGAATACCTATCTAGAAAGTAATACCAACACTTACCAGCAAGACGATCCAACATTTGATCCATGAATGACATTGGGAAATGGTCTTTCTCAGTCCATGCATTCAAATTGCGGTAATCCATGCACACTATAAAACTAGTCATCGCCCTCATTGGAACAAGCTCGTTTTTAGCACTGGGAATCACATTACTTCCTCCTTTCTTTGGCACGCACTGAACTGGGCAGATCCAACTACTATCAACAATGGGATATATAAATCCAGCATCTAACCACTTAATGATATTCTTTTTCACAACTTCTTGCATTGGGGGATTCAATCTCCTTTGCTCAATACTTGGCTTGTTGTCCGACATAAGTTGAATTTTGTGAGAACAAATGCCCGGTGGAATCCCAATAAAGTCTGCAATAGTCCATCTGATATCCCTCTTAAACCGCTTCTGCACCGATACTAAGGCCTCTATTTTCCCTTCACTCAAGTCTGCAGCAATGATTACTGGCAAAGTGCTATTGCGTCCCAAGAATACATACCGCAAGTGGGATGGAAGTACCTTAAGATCTAGTTTTGGAGGCTCATCAACAATGGTTTTGCCGGTGGGGTGTCTCGATTCTTCATGTCTAATTCTAACTGTTTTGGATTGAAACATTACTCAAACCTATCAAGGGCAGCAACTAGTTCATCATAGTCATCAATGCCATCACGGTCAAAATTCATCATCACAGCTGCAAATGCCTCAACACCTAACCTCTCTTCAAAGGACACTTCAGATTATTGCTCCTCAATATGATTGACCACCGATACCGACTTAAGATCATACTCATGCTTCATAGATCTACAAATGTTAAAAGTAACCTCCTCATTGTTTAAACGAAACTTCATCTGACCTCTCTCCATATCAACCAACGCGCGCCCAGTAGCAAGAAATAGTCTCCCTAAGATGATAGGAACCTCAAAATCTAGTATAGCAAAGTCTGCCGAAAGGATTAATGACTCCACTTTCACAAGGACATCTTGTAGCACTCCAATGGGCCTCTTCACAGTTCTATAGGCCATAAGTAAACGCATCGCAGTCGGCTTTGGAGCTCCTAGGCGCAACTTCTTATAGATCGATAATGGCATCAAGTCAATGTGGCCCCCCAAATCACATAATGCTTTCGCAAAGTGCAATATCCCAATGGTGCAAGGAATAGTGAAAGCTCCAGGATCCTCTTTCTTCTGCACAAGTGACATAGTAGAAATAACACTACAATGTTGTAACTTCTCTTCATTCTCGAAACTGACAGCCCTCTTTTTGGTCACCAAGTCTTTCATGAATTTCGCATACCCAGGCCTCTGTTCCAAATCTTGTATCAACGGTACATTTATGGACAGTTGCTTCAACATAGTGATGAACCTATTTTCCCTCTTTATTCTTTTTCACCAAGCTTTGTAGGAATGGTGGTGGAGGTCTAGGCATGGGAACAACTTTTTGGGGGTCGGATTTTTAATAACCTCATTCTCATCCTCATTATTTCTTATCACTTTTTCAACCTCAGATGACATGGGGGGATCTATAGTCTGTTTTCCTCTGCGAGTAGTGACTTCCATACAATGCCCATCATTTTTTGGATTTTGGATGGTGTTGCTATAAAATGGGGCAGGCTGGCGTAGGTTCCAAGTAGCGGACAACTGACAAAACTGTTGCTCAAGTTGCTTGATCGACACTACATGGGCATTAACTTTCTGACCAATCCCAGTTAAATCATTATGCATCTCTTTTACATTTTCATCTGTCGCATCACCTCTTCACCATCTTCTGCATCATATCTTTAATGCGAGTCAGACTAGTACCAGCCTCTCTATTACCAGGTGGAACATATGGCCCAACCTTCTCATTCCTATTGCCATAGTTGTTCCAGTTAAAAAATTTAGCACGATTGAAGTTCCCATCTCAGCCAGAGTTTCCCCTACGGTTGTAGTTCCCATAGTTCCAACCCTGGTTTCCTTGACCTTGGTGCCAATTTTCTGAGTTGGAACATTGGGTGTTGGTTTGGAATCCCCCCATCTGATCATTAACCAAATTCGCATCCTCCTCATAGTAATACTCCTCAACTGGCGGTGGTGGAGGTGTAGTTAGATAGTTTACCGCATTCCCTTTTTCTATACTTCCACTCACATGCTTTAATACCAAGACAATTTCTATCCTCATTTGAGCCATCTCTTCACTAATGTCATCATTTATTTGACTTGGTGCAGTTTTAACAGCAAACGTGCTTCTACTAGTATTTGCCTTCCTAGTGATCCATGCTTTATTGTTCTGGGAGATCCTCTCATGTTTTTCAACAATATCATCAAAAGTGCACTCACCATATGATCCTCCAGCAATAGTATCTAACACAACCTTTCCATTGTCATCATGTCCTCTGTAGAAGTACTCTTTCAGTAACTCATCATCTATGCGGTGATTCAGAACACTTCTCATGAATCCAGTTAACCTATCCCATGAATTGCTTACCGACTCTCTAGGTAGTGCCGTGAAATTACTCGGTTTATCTTTGTAATTTAACTTTTTGGACACCAGAAAGTACTTATCCATGAACACCTTATGCAGTTGGTTCCATGTGTGTATTGAATTGTATGCCAGCTCAGAAAACCACACAGCAGCATCACTAATCAACGAAAGTGGGAATACTCTCAAACCTATAATGTTAATATCCAAGTCCGGTTGTTCCACATTACTACTACAAATACTTGTCAATTTAGCCATGTGAGAATATGGGTCTTCCGACGATAACCCAATGAATAACCCTCTTGCTATAAGCATTTGCATAAGACTGCTAGTCAACAAATGTATGTCCCGCAGGTAGTGGAGGGAGAACAATAGGCCCAGTTGATCCAGCCTCTACGTAGTCAACCTTGTAGTTATCACGAACCCTCGGTGTTGGTAGATTCTGCACCTTTTCTGCATTTTCAATTAGATGACCAATTGAACCTAAGTGGGTACATTAACAACTCAAGGAGGTTGAAAACCAGCTCAATCCCCTTGACCGTCTCCAATAGGATAATTGTGTACCTTGAGATTTATGCCTCTTCCGACCGTTCTTCTTAAAGTTCTCCTTAATTCTAGATCGTAGGGCAATAAGGGATTTCCTTGACTTCGTGTACTTGGCATACACTAGAGTTGAAACCTGTAGAAAATAAAAAAAAAAAACATAAAATCGGGAAATACTTGACTAAAGTTCAATCATGTAGTTAATTTAATCTAAAAGTCGTATACCCCGGCAGCGGCGCCAAAATTTGATACGCCCAAATTACATATCCCGAAAGACGTATAAGCGGTCATTATCAAATAAAGAATCTAACTTTTAGGTTAGGGTCGATCCCATGAGGAATATGGTTTAGACTTAAACTTAACTTACAATGATCTCTGTTTAGCCAAATATTTCTGAGAAAAAAATAAGAAAAAGGGAGGGGGGGTTGTAAATAAAATAACAGTTTGTTGGTTTAATTAATAAGTAGCAAGTAAACAGTAACACCCCGAATTCGAATGAGAAAAGCTTGGCAGATTTCAGAACTCCTAGGTTCCATCCACGAGGGTCAATCACTGCCCGTGGTGTGGGCCACAGACTGTAGGAGGGTCCATGGATTGGCCCCTTAGAAATTCTCAAGGGCAGGCCCACGACTGGACCTATAGACCATAGGTGGGTCCACGGTCCGTGGTACAGGGGTCCGTCGATGGGACAAAATCTCTGTACTTAGTGACAGACCACCAGGACGGACCGTAGGTCAGTCGGCGGTCCTTCGGTCGGGGTCCGTAAGTCACTGGTCTGGCAGTTATTTTTAGGGGCACATGGGTCTTTTCCTAATTAATTAATTTTTATACTATGATAGTTTGCCTATAATTAGAACCCCTATGTATGTATTTTTAACCCCTAAAATCCCACATTCAAGTCATTCTCTCTAATTCCCAAAAGAAAACCCAACTCTTCTCTCTAGAAGTTGAAAGAAGAAGGAAGAAATTGAAGCTAGGTTCAAGTCATGTCTCCAATCTTCAAGCTTTTGTGGGCTTTGCGACTAAGGTATGATGGATTTTCATCCATGGAATCCTTCCTTCCATGGAGTCCCCTAGATTTCCATAATTGTGAAGATGAAATCCCCAATTCTAGTTAGGGGTTTTTCCAATGTTGTGGGTTATGATGAATGTGGATCCAATTGAGTGGATTATGATTGTTTATTTGGTAGGATTACATGTTTTTAGGATGAAATTACATGTACCCGTGCCTATTCCATGATTCTAACCTAGAATTGATAGAATTGAGTAGATACCTTGTAGGGAAACTTTATGAGTTAGATGTATCCTTATAGAATTGATCAATTATGTTAGAATTGCTTGAGATTGAAGCATTTATGATAAATACGATGTTAACTGCTTAAGAGTAAAATAGATGATGATCATGAGATGTAGTGCTTTGAGGGTAAAGCCTAGACTATGAATCTTTGATTGTTGATGATATAGTGTGGACGGGATACTTCCCACAATGAATTGTTAAGCATGATTGTATGAATGTGAAAGGTTTACTCACATGAATGATTCTAGGTTGAAAGGATTGCTTAATTAAAATGAATCTAGACTAAAAGACTATGTAATTGAAGAGGCTAGAGGTGACTTCCCTTGACCTTTATATGTGAAGGATATGAGGTGATTTCCCATACTCCTTAGTATTGAACAAGTGGCGATTTCCCACATTCCTAATAAGATGAATGGACATGGAGGCGAGTACCTATAATACTTATGAAATAACGTGGAGGCGAGTAACCGTGTCATATGAAATGACATGGAAGCGAGTACTCGTATCATGAAATGATGCGGAGGCGAGTACCTATGTCATATGATGTGGTTGTGGAGGAGAGTACCCATATTCCTTAAGTAAGCAAGGCAGGAGGCGAATAACCATTAGCCTTTATAAGTTAGGAAAGGAGGTGAATCCCCATGTCTTTAAAAGTAAGTATTAACAGTGAGATTTATGTTATGAAGATGATTAGCTTGTATTGTTGCATGAGTTGCCTTCCATGATGTAAGCATGACTAGAGGTGGATGACCCAAGTCTTGACTAAAGATAAGTGAGGTTGCTTAAGAAGTATTCCTCTTTCATTATGATGTTTTATGTGTATTGATTATGCTTTATGTCTTATGTTTACTAATGCCAATGTTTATGTAGTTTATGCAAGCTATCATATTTTGTACATGTTTGTACTAATGCATACTCTTGCCTACATTTCTTATCAAAATGTAGGGTCCGACGATATTGATCTCACACTTGTGGCTAGGATCATAGTAGATCAAGGATTGGAGATTCGGTGAGTCCTCATATATTTCGAGGATTTGACCACCATTTCCCTTTATGTCATTCTTTACATGTTGGACTATTGTATTGACTGTGTCCCAAGATTATTCATGATGTTTATATGGTTTGAGACAATTGTATTGGACTTTCGCTCGTTTTATAATGACTTCGATTGTATTGAAAAAAGTTTTAAATTTCCGCACCTTTTCTATTACTTTATGTTATGATATGCTAAGTGTCTTTTAGAGGCCTCTCGGGGTCTTGTATGCCTTGTTACATCTAGGAGGTACTCCTGGGTCGTGACAAACATGGTATCGGAGCACAATGTTTAGAATGGTTCGTGGATGTCTCAAACCACGTCAAGTAGAGTCTTGTTCATGAGTGTGAAGCGCGCCACATTTATGAATGAGAGACTACTAGATGTTTAGGAAACTTTACTTCTTCATTTATCTAAGTCATTGCATGGAGTTTAACTCTATAAGGTATTTCTCCTAATCCTTGCCCGATGTTTTTCAGGATATGACTACTAGAAGGGCTGCTAGAAGGAATGAGGGAGACAATGTGGGGCAAAAAGTTCTTCTCCAAGCTCCTCCTTAAGCTCCGATTGATTCGTTGGCTGACAATGTCACAAATGCGGAATTTAGGTCGGCTTTTCAAGAGTTGGCTCAAGCCGTGATGGCCTAAGCCAATAGAGAGGTGGTAGTCCCCGTGAACCCAAATGTGGGTATGGCGGCGTCAAGAGTGAGAGACTTTACAAGGATGAAACCTACAGAATTTTATGGCTTCAAAGTTGAGGAAGATCTACAAGAGTTTATTGATGAGGTCTATAAGATCATTGCTATTATGGGAGTGACTCCGGTAGAGAAGGCGGAATTGGCTACTTTTCAACTAAAAAAGGTTGCTCAGATTTGGTTCAATCAATGGAAAGAGGCAAGGCCGGAAGGAGCGGGCCCAATAGTGTGGGAAAGGTTCAAATCTACTTTTCTTGATAGATTTTTCCCTCTTCAGATGAGAGAGGCCAAGATGTTTGAGTTCATTAACCTTTCATAAGGAAATATGAGTGTAACGAAATATTCTTTGAGGTTCACTCCATTGTCCAAATATGCTCCTTCTATTATGGCGGATCGTAGGGCTACGATGAGTCAATTTGTGTCGGGTGTGTCCATCTTGGTAGTCAAAGAGTGTCCCATCTCTATGCTTGTCCATGACATGGACATTTCTCGTCTTATGGTGCATTCCCAACAAATTGAAGAGGAAAAGCTCAAGGAATGATCTAGGGAAGCGAAGAGGGCAAGAATGGATGATGGTAACTTTTCATATTCTAGGTTCGATGGATGGGGTTGTTCAAGGTTCCGGCAAAAGTCCTCCGGGCAAGGTTCTTCTAATGCTTCTTCAAGGTCTAGCAATGAAAGGGTGTCTAATCCTAAA